ATTTTTTATTTTTTATTTTTTATTTTTTATTTTTTGGTGGGGAAGGGGGGGTTGGTTGAGATATGATAAGAGGGGGGGGAGGGGGGGGATATGGTCGACCGTTATCAGACGAGCGAGTGTGGTTGGGTTGAGTAGGGAAGGGAAGGGAAGGGAAGAAAGGCTCGAAAGGCGGGAGAAATGGGAAAGAAAGAAAGAAAGAAAGAGAGGAAGGAGGGAGGGAAGGGATATGGATGAGATGAGATGATGGCGGAGCATCGACATCGACATTGATATTACCTACCTAGGATGATCTAGCATCCATCTAGCCAAGGCCCTGAGAACATCTACATAGGTATGCATCGAGTGAGTGACTCCAGAACAGCTACTGCACTATCATCAAGTTACAATTCAATTCAAGTCGATAGTAACGTCAGGATCAGTCAGTCTGCATCATGTTTCCATTTTCATGTCATCAATAATTCCATTTGCCCTTTTCATACATTCGTGAATTCGTTTTCGTTCAATGATACCAAGCAAGGCCTTATGAGACGGTCCCGTCCCGCCTGCGCCTCATTCATCCATGTATGCAACGCGAAATCTTGGGACAGATGAAAACAACCCAGACAGATGGATGCGTGCTGGATGGTGGTCGTGTATGGCAGTTTTCTGAATGTGGAAAGAAAAGCAAAGGGGAAATTCAGAATATGTACAGGAAAGGGGGGGATCAGATGTATATGCTGTCACAGTCAGTCGGACGGACGTGCTGTCAGAAATGATCGAAAGAAACAACCAATCCTACGTCGTCAGATGTAAGCGTCGACATCATCGAGAGATCCAGAATTTAGGAGTGAGTTGGGGCATGATGATGACGAGTTGGAGCATGGGTTCTGCAAACACCCTTCTCGCAGCTGTTGTCAAACCAGCCGAGACGAACGTCATCCATCCACCAGATCTTTGGTCGACCTTGAACAGTGACGTTCATGCCAACCGAGTCGAGATCCTTGAAGAGGCCATCGAGGCTGACGGGAGTGAGGACGCAATCCAGGCTCTTGAGCGACGGGCAGGCCGGGACCGAGACTCGCTGAGTGACGACAGATCTGGTTTGGCGAGAAAGGCGGTCAAACTTGAAGCCAGTGAAGGTGAACTCGCAGGCGGCGCCGAAGCTGTCGCATCCCAGGGAGGCTCCATAGAAGTTGAAGCTAAAGCATCCGGTGGCACCATGATCGATATTGCCAATCTCGCCAGAGAATCCACCTTGTGCAGAGTTTGGACCAGATTCTGGCGTGGATGCATTGACCGTGAAGTTTGGGATGAACTCGAGGAGAAGTGGCTTCGACACGGGGAGGTATGGGTCGACTGTAAGAGTTAGAGCACGAAACATATATTTTAGGGCCACGCAAGAGCGAGTAATTTCTACTCCTCGGAGGAATATACTCTGGCAGACTTACCTGGTGGTGGGACAACCGTGAAGCCGTTCGAAAAGTCAAACTTGTGGTATGGATTCGGAACAGGTTCTGGCTGGAAATCCGTGCTCTGGTTGCTAACAGAGAGAGGAGGGATGTCATCAAACTGTGGGCATAAAATATTAGCCTGAGGCTCTTCAAACAGGTTGGGTATACAAAACCTACGTTCAAGACAAAGTCGCCCAGCAGACCGCACTTGGTAGGCATGGCAGGAGCAGGGGAGGAGACCATGACAGAGGAAGAAACTGTGCCGGAGCTCTGATTGCTCATGGCCGTCGGCTCCATGGTGGATAAGGTGGTGGGGGCGAGCGAGGTCAAGAACGAGGTCTCGGTTCCAGCTGGAAAGACACCCATATGAGTGCTTGCAGTCACGTTCACGAAGCTGCTGCTGGTGAAACAGGTGGCGGCAGACGATACTGGCGAAGAGATGGGCCACTTGCTGGACATCGAGGTAGGGCCAGAAGTAGGATTGATGGCACCGAGGGCAGCACTGGTTGATTGAGAAGCAATTTCAGTACTGTTCAGGAATGGTGCAACGGGCGAAGTCTGAGTGAAAGTCTGAGTAACTCCATGGACATTCCAAGAGACGGTCTCACCACTGACAACAGCAGTGGTCCAAGGGGTCGATGAGGCGGTGGGGTAAGCGGGGACCCAGATGGTGCTTGACGTGGAAAATGGTTTGAATCCACCCTGAGCTGCATAGCTGGTGACTTTATACGAGTGGCTGGAGGTCTTGTAGATGTCAACAGTCTCCTCAGTGATGAATGAGACCGGAGAAGACGGCTTCGCAGGGTCAGTAGCTCCAGGGAAGGCGACTCCACCGGCAGTCGAAGTTACATTCCAGCCACCCCACGAGCTTGTGTGACTAGAAGCGATGGATTGAACATAGGGGCCAGTGGTTTGCTTTGCGAGCGATAAGGTTCGAGTGAGGGTAGTACGAGTCATGTAGATAGTACTCTGGAGGGTCAAGGTGCTAGTAAGCTCCTCGGAAACCGAAGTGTAGACAGGCACAATTGTGACCACGCTTGTCTTGACGACGTAGGACGAAGAAGGCTTACGACCACCGAACCAGAAGGTCATACCATTCTCAACGATGAAGGCAAGGATACTAGAGCTGGGTGGAGTTGGGGTTGGGGTTGGGGTCGAGGTTGATCCGTATTCAGTGACGGTGACCATGGCAGTCTATCTCGTGTTAGCAGGCCCAAGTCTCGAATTTCTAAATCGACCGAGACGCGCCGCTGCCTGCGATCTGTCAAGACAGAGGCATGTCTTTGAAAGAGAGGCACTTACTTGAGTAACCGTAGTCTCGTAAGATACCAGAGGGCTGACCGCAACAGCAACGCTGAGGGAGGTGGTCTCAATGTAGTTAGTCTTGGTGGAGAGGATGGTGTAAACACGGGTGATAGTGGTGGTAGGAGTGAGCACGTTGGACGGGACCGAGTGGTACACGGTAGCTGTGGTTGTCTCCTCCTCATGGATGGTGATTGTAGTATATTGAGGGGAACTTGTCTGATCCTCACGGACGGTGATCGTAGTGTATTGAGGGGCAGTTGTCTCATTCTCGCGGACGGTGATCGTAGTGACTTGAGGGACATCAACGAAGACCGTGGTGATGCTTGGTTGGCAGACGTCGTAGCTGCAAGGTGGTCAGCGAATGTTACAGGTTGAAGGCAAGTACGTACGACGAGAGGGCAGGAGCTGCGGCGGCGAGGGCAGCCAGGCCAACCGCGCCGACGAGGACGCTCAGGTTTTGGGGGCGCATCTTAACTATAGGTATGCGATTGCGGGATGTTATTGATCAACAAATCGATAAATACCGTGCTGTGAAGACGGTCGTCGGTGAAAGTAACGTAAAGGGTTGTCAAAGGAGTGTGTGAAAAGAATTGAGTCGAAAGGAGAGTGAGGTGAATTGAGGTTGAAGGAAGAGGAGGTCGAGAAGAAACTTGTTTGCGCGGGGAGAAATAAATGGGCAGAGGTTGACCGTCGAGGAAAGTACGCTAACGCCCGATTGGGGTAAGCGGGCCAGCTTCACTGACCACTTCTCTGATACATTTTGAAGTTTCTCTACTATGGACATGAAAGATAAATAGACATTCGTGAGAAGGATATCAAAAATGTGAGTATCATTAGTGTGTCAAGGACAGCAGCAGTCTCGCATTCCGCTATCTTTGACGGGCACAAGCTTCGAGCTTCGAGCTTCGAGCTTCAGATATTCTTTGCAGAGCAACAGAGGAGATTGGAAGTAGAAGCAAGGGTACACAGGGAGCAGAGAGAGGAAGCATCGTAAATTTCAACAGCGGCATCCTGACGAGAAATATAGGAAATATACCCTGGCGTCAATCAGGCACAGGAAGCAACCCCGACATTCGGCAGTGGGCCTGCCTGCCGGAAGACTTGCAAGAGCACAGGACGCAGGATACTTTCGACCGAGCAGCTTCCCGTCTGACGCGAGCGGGCTTCTTCCAGTTACATATAGTTGTAAGATTCAGCAGCGGGATGAAAAAGCAAACGGAAACCAGAATACAAAGGCGCGTGGTACATCTCCCGATTACATGCAACTAGCCGTCGGTGCTCGAATCTGGATCAAATCCTGCGTCTACAACGATATACAAGCGTGGGCCACCACTATAGCAAGGCTCTGTTTCGAGTGGAGTTGCACAAAGATCAACTTCCGGACTTGCTTCCGGTTTAATGCTGTTTTATTGAAGTCCGGACATCTTCATCTGTCCACCTTTGGGAAGCTCCAAGCAACAAGGGACCCTCCGGCTCCTCATCCTCCTTCCATTCTGCAAAATATATTAGTAACGTATTGCAATCTTAGTATCGAGGACGATATCTTTCACTCTTACATTATTATATAGACATATTATCCAGCTTTTGTCAGACCGACTATCAATATAGTGTAGTTGAGTGTTGTTCTCAGGGTAAGGGGTCTATTCTATGCTGGATTTATCGAGCAGAATATTGAGGGCAGCAGTCCTATAGATTGAGATGTTCTTCTGGATCCTTTATTGTTTCGTAATCGCAGGATGGTCGTTAGCAAGCATCCTATGCATCTCAGGGGAAAGCCACGATCCAGCAGCCTCAGGCATCACCCGCGTCATCGTCATCGCGCCAAGTACTGCAACAACAAGAGAACCGAAACCTCCAAATTCCTATCTTTCCTCCGTAAACTGTCTCGTCTACACGTCTCCTTTAAGATGGCAGAACCAGAGCCTCGTATGTCTGCCGCTGCGGTCCTTCAACCCATCCGCAACGTCGTGTCGGCTTCCGCTCTCTATCCATTCAAGGGAATCTGGTATTTCGGCGCGCACCGCGAGTTCTGGCCCCTCTTCGGGCGCCGTCTGATCCCCTTGCTCTTTACCTCAATCGTGGTTCTTGGTCTATTATTCACATTCACATACCTGCCACAGGTCGCTTTCCTAGCTATATTCCATGGCCCGGTGGCATGGTTCAATGCGGCGTTTCTGGTTCTTGGGGAGGGGCAAATCTTGATCGCGTTACTATTCGAGGCTCTGCTCGTTGACGAGACGCTTGTTAATGTCTTTGATGTACGTCTACTTCTTGTACTCCCCACAGAGGTTCAGGCTGTACCTATTCACTCCTTTGACTCCTTTGCTAAATCCTCCTAGGGAATCCTCATACGCGAAGGCCTGTGAGTAAACTCCTCCCTTTTCTGTCCCTGGCGAACCTCTTCTATTGTTGCTTTTACTAATGTCCCCCAGAATCGACCTCGTCTCCCCCTCCCGCATCCTCTACCACGACGCCCCCAATTCCGTAAAAATGCTCGGCAAGCCCACCTCCTCCGCTATCTACTCCCCCTTTTCCTTCCGCCAAATCTTCGAATTCATCTTCTTTCTTCCCCTCAACCTAGTCCCTATAATCGGTACCCCCTTCTTCCTGCTCATAACGGGCGCCCGCGCCGGCCCTTTGCACCATTACAGATATTTCAAACTACGATGCTTGACAGGTAAACAGAAGAAGAATGAGATTAGGTCGCGCAGGTGGAAGTACACCTGGTTCGGCACCGTAGCGTTGATGTTGCAGTTGGTGCCGGTGCTCAGTATGTTCTTTCTCTTGACGACGGCGGCGGGGAGTGCCCTGTGGGCTGTGAAACTGGAAGAACAGAAGAGATTGATCGCGGAGGCTCCTGTGCCTGTTCCGGGGCCCATGACAGATGAGGAGGCGCCTCCACCGCCTTATGCCGATAATCCTATCTAGAGGGATTCTGGTAGACAAATAAGATTATTTACGATAATGCAGCACTGCTTCGCGTATAGTTGATGTCAGGTCCGTTTCTCTGCCCTTCCATTTTTTTGTGCATTTCCTTGTGCTGTTTACGGACTCTTACGTATTTTGCGCTTTCCAGACTCGTCGAGCTCCATACTAGCATCTCTTGGAACCTTGCCGCCGACTTACACCTCTTTCTCTCGGGCTAATATCACCCAGCTCTCTGTGCCCACCCGGTCTCGGGCTGCTCAGGTAAAACGCTGAAGTACTTGAGACCGCTGAAGCACTTGAGACCGCTGAAGCATTTGAGAACACAAGAATCCAAGCATCAATGTTGTTACAAGCTTCTTAGACCGAGCCTCCCTCGGGGAGAATGGAGAGAAGGCTAAGTAGCTAGCTGACTTAGGATGAAAGCCACGATGCAAAGAGCTCAGAAGATAGGACGGCGACCTGTGCCTAGATTGTGAGCCAAGACCTGCCACCCAGTTGAGAGGAACGAGATAGTCTACGGATCGTGGATTACGGAGGTCGATGCTGATATCATGTAGCTACTGAAGGCCAGGAAGCTGGACATTGGGAACTGGACTATAGGAGGTAAGATGCCTTGTTAGTCTTCTCTTCTTTCAGGCTTTTTTATGGTAGCGAGTAGTGCAAATCCTCAAGCTAGAGCTGGAACACTTACCTCGAGTTGGTGGAGCTGCCTTGCCTCAACTCCGGGCTTGGAACAGGAATGAGATGGATTAGACCATATGAGGGAGTGAGAGGACCTGATGCCGGACTCGATTGCTCTCCACAATAATCTTATCCGCAACAGACAGAAGAAGGAATGGTTGTATGCTACTGTAGAGCAATAAGAAGAGTCCGTATTGCTTTGTTCCTCCCTCATCCCTCCTCGAATCTCGAGATCTCCAAATCTAAAAAGTCCTTAGTTAATCGGCTTCAATCCATTGAAACGCGACGCTTCTTGACCTACAAACATATGAATCTAAGCTCCTTTGTAGTATTATGCCTACCGAAAATCGACAGTTGAGCGCAGGAGTCCCAAGTTCTTTGAATGTGTTCTTTCCGGTCAAAGAACGACAGCTACTGAGCTGAGACGATGAAACAAAGAAATAGACAAGGCTGTTGTTCTTCTCAGAGACAGCCTCGAGCTAGAGAACGTGGCTCCCGAGCTAGCGAGCGTACCTACCGGATTTATGAGGTCCCGTCCGATACCATATAGTAATCTCGCGATTCACTTTCGCGTCTCCCGCCATTTTCGAACAACCACGTCAACACAAAGTACGCTAAAACTAACCTCGTCGGCATCCCAACTATCAACCATTGAGTTCTCGGACCAAAGGAACGCGCAAAACGCGTACAGCAGCATCATGTATCACCCTCAAGCTGGCAGATCACAGTTCGAGATGAATGCTCGGATCGTAGGCCTACAGAACGAGCTGCAGGCCGAGATCGATGGCTACGACTCCGCTCTCCTATCACCTGAAGATCGGAGAGACAGTGATGACCCCAAGACAACATCGACGGCGGTAGTCACTCGGGCGGTGCTCGACCCTCGGGCCCAAGAATACCATCCGCTGCTTGCATCTCCTAACAGCACCACCGGTACCAGCTTCTCCCTCCCCCTTTCAAGGGTCGACAGAATGATCACGCCAGTCTACGGATTGACTGAGCGCTCCTACGGAAATCAATTCACCGGCTTCGATCCCCGTGAGGTCAGTTCCTTTCAAATCGGTCCCTTTGAGATCAGCTCCCGAGGTATATTCTGGTTCGCGGGGCGCCAGATTTGGAAGGAGGAGGCCCTTAGCACGGAGCACGTAGACTTTGTGAACCGGGCTTACGCAGCAATGCAAAAGAAAATGATAGGCGATTACAACGGGATAGAGACCCAGCTTTCCCTTCAGGTGCAGCAGACTGCGGCAAAGCAGCTGCGACTCCAGTCCCCTCAGGCATACGAGAACAAAAGACAGCGCAATCAGCTGCGACTCCAGTCCCCCCAAGCATACGACTACAAAGGACTGCGCCATCAGCTTCCCGCCGACAAAAACAACAGCGGCATCCGCTCTATGTTTGTTAACCTGCCGTCGCACACGTGGAAGGTTGTCCTCAAAAATATCGCTGAGAAACGCCAACTCATCGTCTTTAATCGCTGGGCCAACAAGCTCCCGCCGGCTTCGGAATGGAAGTTCGATACAAATATCCGCTCTGCGCTTCGCAAGGACGAGAACTGGCGTGAGCTGGAACATGAGATGACCGGTACGCCTGTCGAGTACATGGATGTCGTCGGACCGTGGGTTGATGCGCAGTCACACTGGGTGCGGGCCTCGGCCTCGGATGAAGTGTTGAGAACTGGCAGATGGGGATGGGTGAGATAGATGATTGTACGTACGTGCTGAGTGAGATAGGTGTCTATGCTGGGCGGGCGGAGGGATGGATACGATACTATAGGATGGATACAATGCTATGGGCGGGACTACGCTGGGCTGGATATGGGGTTGGGTTAATTGGTAATTTGGTCTTCTGGAAGGAGCAAGTCGGGGCCACGGGCGACGGGCGACTGCGACTGGCATACAATATGGAGATCACTGGCAGATGCGATGGAAAGAAAGGTCATGCATGACAGTTTATGTACATATACGAGTACAATTTGCTTCTTGCTTTGCATCCCTTTGTCTTGACCTCACTATGATATTTGTGAATCGTCAGGTATATAGTGCCTCCAAGTTTAAGATTGGGGAATGGGTTAGGAATAGAGAGAAGGGGACTGGCCTGGCTTCTCGCATAATAGAAACTGCCCCAAAAAAATACGATAAGCAGGACTTGCTACATCCTGGAATATAAGAGGATACATGCACAGCGAGCCGCTGTTTTCTCGTACGGTATAGCATTTATAGCACCACCGCTGGCAATGGGCCGCCTTGATAGCGGAGAGCTGAAGGGTCCGAGGTGGTGGAAAATCCTCGCTTAGCGATCCAATCACACCCCACTGAGAAGTAACAGAAAAACAAAACATCAGAAAATCAAAATCAAACACCCAGACTAAGACTAAAAATCAAGGAAATCAAGGAAACAAACGTTAACAACCCGCAACCCCAAACCGCAGATGGTATTGGGCTTGGATTAACTCCCAAGACAGTTTGCTGGAGTGTGAGGACGCATATATTGAGGACTAAATACCTGTACAGGATGTATGAAGAAGGCCAATCTTGCCAAAAGCGCTATGGTTTCTTTCGTAGGTCTACAAACACTGTGGGTAATACGAATTCGAAAATGTGCACGTCGTTCCTATTATGCAAACAGTGGATCCACTCTATGTTGCGCCTCCGCACTGCTGATACTTCGCTTGGGTAGTTCCCGTAGCTGTAGTCGCCGCACTCGTTGATGTGCTCGTCGGTGACTTACTCGTGGATGATTTGCTGCTTGTGGCGGCAGCCAGCGATGTCGCTGGCAGTCCCATTGAACTCGACCTGCCGCCCGAAGCGGGCCTCGAGAAGCGTCCCGTTCCAATACACGTGAGATCAAACCAGTCCAGCACCACCGTTGTATTCGTCTGAATGTTATGGTCCACCCCCTGCGCAATTTTAGCCGTGAACGAGTCCCCATAGACATAGGTCGTCCACCCACTCTGCGGACTATCCGCCAACGTTCTGACAGGCGCGCTCGGCAAGTCCAGCACAGCAGTCCACTCCTTGATCTCCTCCTGGAGATTCTGCGGGTGGAGAATGGTATCGGCTGTGCCGTGGAATATCTGCATCTTCGGTCTCCACCCCGAGTGGTAGCCGGGGTAGGCCGCTTCGACGATAGTCTTCCACTCGGCACCCGTCTTGGTGATCTGCCCTGTTGCGCAGGCGTCGCTCCACACGGCGTACCCGTTGCTGGCATAGCAGCTGAATGCAACGCCAGCCCATGCGCTCCCGGCGGCGAAAACCTCGTGGTATGAGCTGAGCAAGACGTTGGTCATCATGGCGCCTGAGCTTGTACCTATGGAGAACACCTTTCTCGCATCGCCATTGTACCTGGCCAGGGTCCACTTCACCATACTGACAATGCCCTGACTGTTGCCTCCGCCATCATGGGATAGCGTTTGAGGAGATAAGACATCCCAGCATTTCCAATATAATGTTGAGCTAAATATGGATCTTGGCTAAGACCGTAAACTGTTAAAAATGGGGTCACCGGACCTACGCCCGTAACGTTGATTAAGTGCATCTATTTGAGCTTAGGCTATCGAGGAACATCAAAAACTTGATTAATTGCTTATTAATAACGAAAAAGAGAATTTTGCGAATGTAAATATGACGGACGACTTTACGCGATTACTTAAGGTGCTTACGAGAGCGCGAAAGATCATATAGAGCTTAAGAAGATCTTAAAGTGGTAACTTGAAATCGACAACTATCGAGTACAAAGATTAAAAAAAGCTCAGGTTTATAAACACGAAGAAGGGAGCGCTAAGGACGCGTAAACTATAGCTTACGGGTGAAAAGAAAGGAACGAAAGAAATGAAAGAATATAAAAAGGAAAAGAAGGAGCTAGCTTAGCGCACGTAAGAATAGTATTTAAGAGACCTAGCGTATTGTTATATTAACGAGCTAGATTTGCGCTTTTGCGATTGAAAATTACTACTATAAATTCTTTTCCTTTCAAATACTTAATTAGTAGCTATAGCTAATTAATAATAGTTAATAATAAAAAGAAAAATTCTCGAAAACCAGCTTGCTGCATCGCCTTAAAAGAAGCTATTGCTATAGATTAAATGCTCGAAGGATAGCTAATTGCATCGCCTTAAGAGATACTATTGCTAAATTGCATGCTCGAAAGATAGCTAGCTGCACCGGGCTTAAAGCTATGGCTATAAATTGGATGCTCGAAAAGTAGCTAGCTGCATCGCGTTAAAAGAAGCTATTATTATAGATTATATACTACGGTACAGGCCTAAGCATTACCCTTCGAGGGTGCCTTAAAAGTTTAGTTTCTACTTTGAATCTTTTGGCTAACTTACCCTCGAAGGGTAATACTTACGCCTAGGACGTAGTAGCTACGAATATTACATCGCGAAATCCGAAAAACTTACGGCCCTCCGCAAGCTCCTTTAGCTTGCGGCCGGGCTGAAGCTTCACATTTTCTTTATATCCTTTTAAAGCGTATTTCTTATAATGCGGAAGGCAGCCTTGCACTACGACCGGGCGAAGCAAGGTCTCCTTTGGCCCCGGAGCTTGCGGAGGGCAGCCAGAGGCAAGACTTTGTTTAATAGTAGCGTAAAATTATACATACTAATCCGAAAGTGCTCTTTAAGGCCCTAAAGATCAGTCAATTATATATATATACTTCTACACTCTTACTATTCTATCTTTGCCTGTATTCAAAGCTACCTTCTGATATTAAGGCTAAGGTGCGCACGAAATTTTACTAAAGGACTTATCTTTTCTTGTACCTTAGAATCTCTTTTTTCCTTATATACTGTCGGTTCCTCACTCATTGAACTGCGAGTCGTTGATATACAGGTCATTAGACTACTAGTCAAGAGAATAGAGTAGTAGTGGGGACCGATTGATTGCTTACCCTGGTAATTACCCATTTGGGATTTACCGAGCTACGCGAGGTAAATACCCTGGACTATGTTGTCTCGGAGCCTCAACTTCCGCTACACAGCCCCTTCGGAGCTACAATTCCCGAGATCCATTTACCCTTGTAATTTACTTGATAGAACTCTTATATTTCTTACAAAGGAGTATATTCTGAATTAAAAAGATCAATCAAGATTCATGATCCACTTCCAGTACTGAAAGAAACCTTATTTTCCTATTGCAACTATACAGAAGAAGCTTCATTCATTTGATGTTTATTATTACCGGCGAACCAACATATACAATTTAGACCTTTGATAAGACCTTCTGCTACGCCGTGATCAATTTTTTTACTTTAATAAATAAGCTAGATTTTTGTAAAGAATTTTAATTGTATATCGCAGTTTTTGAAATACGGCTTTATCAGGGTCGATTATTTCCCATGCCTCGAAGAAAGTGGAGTTGTATTTCCCATGCCTCAACCCACTTTTTAAGTGGGCCCGCCCAGCCAAATATACTCGCTGCTTTATACAGGAAAAATTTTTCAGTAATGCCGCTTATACTAGAATTATTTTCTAAAGTTCTCGATTGTAATTTTAAAGCTATTCACATTTACAATTTTTTTTATAAAAAAAATTAATAGAAATAAATAAATACAATTCTATCGATATGTGTTTTTAATTACAAATATTATATTAGCTTAAGAATCAATTCTAAAAGATACGCTATCCGCGCAACCAACGGTCTTGTATAACGAACACGATTAAAGCATATATGTTTTCTCTATTATATCGATACCGTAGCTTCTTTAGTTCGAACGTCGTGGTTGCAACGAGCGCGCCATTTGCATATATCGTTAAAGTAGTATATCTATCTCATATAAGTCTTCTCGTTATTCGGACACTTAAGCTCTTATCGCTCGTTACTACGTCTTTAAAAGCTTTCAGATTGTAAAATACATCGCTTTGCTAAATTGAAACAGGTTTCTCTTAAGAATCTTTGAGAAATAAATCTATATCTATATTAGAATCGAGTATACCGAAGCCGAGGTCGTTAAATGTAGCGTCAAGCAGCGAGTAGATTTGGCTGGGCGGGCCCACTCAAAAAGTGGGTTGAGGCATAGGAAATACAACTCCACTTTCTTCGAGGCATGGGAAATAATCGACCCTTTATCAGCCTTATTTAAAGCTTAATATAAGAAGGACCGTGCACTTCTATACAAATGACGTGTCTTTATAAAGAAAGGGTCCGTGCACACGTACTCATATAACGCGTCGATGCGCCGTTACGTGCGGCAAAATTAATGGCGGTGGCTGAATTAGGCTTAGCTGTATGATATATTTAATTCGGGCCGATCGTTTCCGAAAGGTCAAAATAATAAGATATGAGCGATTAAAAAGCTTAGTACGCTCAGAAATCCTATCAGATCGGTATAGAATTGTCCTACGTAACTGGATAACTAATCATCCACCACCATAACCCTTGGAACTTATCTTGGGTCACCGTAGGTGATAACGATATATTTAACTCGGGCCGATCCTATCCGAAAAGTTTAGATAATGGAATACGAGCGATTAAAAAGCTTGGCACGCTTAAAGATCCGGTATAGAATAATCCTACGTGACTAGATGATTCATCACCTACTATCACAACCGTTGGAACTTATCTTGGATCACCGTTAGTGATAATAAAGTGAATAAAAAGGGTTTCCTAATACTAACCCCTTTTATAAATAAATATCGGATCTACTTTAGCTCTATGAATTGTAGAGCGGTGATTTCTGAACGCCTTAAAGCCCTGACAACTCTATTGCACAGACTAAATACTGGCATTAAGATTAAGATAAAAGCTTTGTTTCAGCTTTGGACTTAGTATATTCTTCCCCTCTATACTACTACTACCAAATACTAGTACATATCGAAAGTATAATTCCGCAAAACATCTTACCAAAGCTTAAACCAATCAACTTATACTACGTAAATTTTAACGTTGAAAAGTATCTTTGACCCAATATTTAGTCTACATGATAAAGTTGACAAGGCTTTAAGCCATTAAGAAACCATCGTTCTATGATTTATAGGCCTAAACTGGGTCCGATATGTATTCATGGGGGGGAGAGTATGGAGGCGGGTATGCCTGTCGGAAGCGTGCGAAAGGGTTTTCGAAATGATTTTCAAGATCGCTAAATTCGCGCGCTTCGAAGCCACGCTATATAGCGATTGAAGATGGTATATAATATATTACAGTATAGCAGAATTAAGTCTTATTAAAGGTTCAAAATGTGTATAAAGAGAAAAGAGATTCTAAGGTACAAGAGAAAATAAGTTCTTTGATAGGGGTCCGTGCGCACCATAGCCTTAGCATTCCTTGGCGAGATTGTTCATTCTATCCGATTAGAGTTCTAGCATCTTGGCACGCTATACAAAGTAAAGTATGTCCTCATTTCCAATGTATCGGAGTTTCCGCTATAAGCCGTGGCGGAGAACTCGTACGGCCAGCATGTCTGTCCCTACATTGTCAAGCATAGCCATAATATGAGCCGCCCAGTCTATAAGGGCCCGGTTTTCCAAGATATCCTTTGGCCTTCCAAGCGTCCCAATCAAGAGTAACGTGCGAAAATTTCATCAGCTCCTCTTCTGATGCAAAACATCGAGCCCTCAATTCCAAATCATCTTTCTTTACCACATCCGTTGGAATAAGCATTTGCAGCTGCCAGCCTTTGAACCCTTTAACCCATGAGAAGCGCAGCGCTTCCTTGGGCTCTGATACCAATCTTGTTAACGTGATGTAATCCACGATTTCTTCTTCGTTTTCGCTCCATAAGGATATCGGGATTTTAATTTTGCCGATATTTTTCATCTTCCTCTTTCTCGCTTCGATAGCACAATACCAACGCCTTTCTTCTTCATCTATACTGCTACGTACCCAATTACCAGGTCCGTTTACTATTCAAATTATAAGCTCCGCGTAATAGTAGTAAACAGATAACGATCTATATAGATCAACTCACATATATAAAAGCCAGATCCTGTTTGAAGAGCATATGGGGGTCTTTTTACATGTAGCTCGTCGCCTTCATATAACTTATTGTCTTTATTGATAAGCTTAGCTTGTTCCTATGAGTCGCGTATTTAGTATAATCATATAATCGTAGTACACGCTTAGGAGGTAATATATGAATCAAGTGAATCTTACTTCGGAGACTGTTGCATAGCCAATGACTTGGTTTTTTTTCCAGAAATCTTTCCACAAAACTCCTTGAGCTTTATTAAAAAGAAAGCTCAAGGCTATCAAGACTGCGCAGACAGACCTCGATCGTAGCATCGTCTTTGTCTGTTTGTCTTCTAATGATGCGCGCTGACGAAAATAAAATGAGTTCGCATAAGAAAGAGGACAATGAAATTGAATCACAACAATGAATTGCATTTGAAGCAAGTATAAGATAAAGAAATATAAATCTCTTTTCAAGCTCGTATTTGAAATTCATACGTTCGGCTATAAATATTCGTGCGGCTGATAGTAAGTAAGACTTTATTTACGCTTATCTGACTATTCATAGTATTGCAATCTCCCCTTTCCAACTTAAAAAGATTAACGTAATCTCTTGTAACAACTCCGTTTTTCCGGAAGTCTGAATCATGAGGAGAGAAGTGGAGTCATCTTAGCGATAGTTTCTCCATTTATTATAGGATCTCAGCTCTCCTATTGGTAACTTCCCCTTATCAAATTGACCTTCTTTTTCCGTGGCTCAGACTTCTGGAAAAACTGAGTACTCGTCCGGCCAGTCAGTACTACTACAGGTATGTACTATCCCCTCCCATGAATACATGTCGGACCCAGTTTAAGCTCATAAATCATAGAGTGGTGGTCTCTTAATAGCTCAAAGCTTTATCAACTTTATTGTATAGACTAAATACTAGCTTAAAAATATTTTTCAAGGTTAAATCTTTATAAGTTGATTGGTTTAAGCTTTGGTAAGATCCCTTGCGAAATTATACTTTCGATATATATTCATAAGGGGGGGTCGGATGACTCCGGTCCGGCCTTGATACTGGTCGCCATGCGACCCGCACAGCCACGCTATAAGCTGGCTACAGCAGTCTATACCTGTTTGACTCTCTTTTGTGGTTTTCCCTTGACAAGAGATTTCCTCTTATTGTAATCCATCTTATCCGTAAAGGAAAGGCGCAGACGACAATAGCTCTCGCTGCAGCACTTTAAATTGCTTTCTAGGGCCTTCTTGTATGTAACTCCTTAGCTTAACACGTCGCCGTATCCTATGGGAGGTCCCAGGGTGGCAGGCTTCGCTTGCTACCCGCCCGACGTAAATAAATACAATAAGAACAACAAATTCATAGGTGGGGGGGAGGTGGGCGTACTACTGCTACTACTGCTACTATGTCCCCATATCGAAAATCGTTCCGAATATAGAGTCAAATTTACTTAATTATTGCGTGGCCGATCATACAGAGCGTTGCAATCCCTTTCCCCATTTTAAGGAGATCGATATATAAGGATATACTTACTGGCCTGGCCGCGCGAGTACCTCCGTAATTGTATGATTTTGCTACCTCCTAGGCTAGCTGAACGATTGGTCTTAAAGGTGAGAAGATCGATGTATTAGCTAGAAGGTAGAAGCTATAGGAGAATGAGGTGACTCTTTAACTGTATGGTTTATGCTCTAGGCCCTTCTACGTGCCTCGCTTAGCTGGTCACGCGGTTCAAAAAACCCCTAACTTGACTGTAAAAGCTACTATTTAGCTAGTGCACGTAATTCCTTCTAATTGTATAAAAGAAGTCAGCTCCCCTGAACTTTAAGGAGCATACAGAATTCAGATACCTTATCAACCGAGTATTTTGCAATTGCAAAAGTGCTTTTTTACGACGTTACGAATATTCACGACAGATCGCGACCGGCGATCCAACAATAAAAGAAAAGCGCAAACGATAATAGTTTTCGCTGCAACACTTTGAATTGCTTTTTAAAGCTTTTTTATATGTAACTCTTTAGCTTAGCCGTACCTTAAAAGAGGTCTTAAGGCGGCAGGCTTCGCTTGCTACCCACCCAACGTAAATAAATACAACAACAATAACAACAAAAAATATCGTCAATCGTTTTAAATCCTTTTCCATTTTTCTTATCCCGTTCCTCCTTTATCGCAAATCTTTTTATATTTTCAGTCGGTATGCCCGTCAGGTATAAATCGTAATCGGCGTAATAATCGAGATAGGAAGAAGCGGCTCGTTCGGATCGCCGATAAAAGAAAATCTCTTCGAAAAGCTACCTTGATTTAATTTCATCTCTCCAAACTCTCTTTGCCGCAAGAAATAAAGCTGAAGGTTCGTAAGGGGCACCTCGTACAGGTAAAGAATCGTAGCCCCCTTGTCTTTCTATGAAGACGATATGCAAGGGCTGAAAACGGCATGGATTTTAGAGAATACTACTTAAAACGCTTGTCCTTCACGGTCATAGCTATGAATAGAATATATGGAACCCTCGTAATCTTGGCATAAGAATGTTCCTCTCGCATTGACAATTTCTCTTATGATATAAGCTCCTTGCTTTTAGTCTCTTCCGTTGACATTTGGTCGGTCTAAAGATCGGTACCGGCAAAGAATCTATGCAGCTATTCCGATCCTAAACCTTTATCGAAAACTAAAATGCCTTAATATATCATCTGCCGTAAACCGCTCTTTTAAGTCATACTTCAATGCATTTGAAAGCAAAACCATAAACTGATCTGCCTCCTCATCGCTAATCGAAACACCGATATTTGCTGGTTCAACTTCAGTAGGTAACATTCTCTTTAGAATTTTATTCGTTTTTAAAATCCACAAAATGAGCTGCGTACCTTTCCCAGACCGGTTATGGTTATGCGCAGCCTTGACCCGGTTGATTTTATCCCGTATATTTTTGGTGCTATTCCGTATATTTGGTCTAGCTTGACGCGGGAATGATTCATTCAGCTTCTTTAATCCTTCCAAGTGGGTAGGAGGAGGCCCCAAAACATTGTGTATTTGTGTTAGTACTTCAATATCGGGGAACACGAAGGATTAGAATAGCCTGGATTGGAGACGCAGCTCAAATACAGTGAGTGCTAGAGCCTAGATGTTCGAGCCTTTGCCGCACTTATTTTCGAGCAGCAGCTCGGGAGACCTAAAATCTGCAGGAGTTCCGACACTCTCCTCGAGTGACTTGTCGACGAAGAACGATTCGCCGAAGTCGATGACTCGGATGTTGCTAGTGCGGTGTCCAAGAAGCCGAGTGAGATCCGCGGTCTCGTAGAGAACTTGGGAGCTTCGGATCCCAAGACTCTTCCGTTGTATGCGCAGACACGATCCACATTAGGTGCACCAAGCTCTTCGTACAGCTTTTCTACCGACTATGAATCGATGCTCTTAAGCTCGAGAAGGACATTCGCACTTGTAAGATCTCTGTGTACAATCTCCACTTCTGCTGAATGGAGAATTGCTAAGGTTTGAGCGAGTTGCAGTGCCATTCTTTGACGGCTCTCCGCATCCATGTAATATTGATTCTGGGTCACCGCGGTGATGTTTGGGCTTAAAAAGCGGGAAACAGTGCAAAAGTGACGTCCGTTCGGGCCATCCACTCAGAAGTTCTCGATTGGAAGGTCGATATATTTTGCAGACTTGCCTTTGTTTATGTACTCTTGGTGTAGGAATATAGGGCTAGGCATCTAAGGTCACGTGGTTACACTAGGTAGCAGGCCTTGGCACCAGCATATAGCTCTCCCTCAGCTAGAATAGCTGACCTCTTCAGACTTCACGAATACAATAGGTACCACCATATATTCGTACTTCTCATTCGGTACCTGTGATACCGACACTTGGATTAGACCGAAAATCTTTAGACTGACGTCTGAAAATTTCTTCGAGAAATCCGCTAGTGCAATCTTGATCGCAACGTAACGTTCCTCTTCTATATCGCGAGCTAGCCAGACGGTTGCGAATGCTTCGTTTCTTAGCTTGTGGACAATCCGGTACTTCCCATCCTTGAAATTGTCACCTATCGACATGGGATGGAATCCATCCTTTGTGTAGTACTCAACATCCTTAACCTTTTCAAATTTGGAGATGCTATAGAGATTGCCGTCGTCTCTTAATTTTTCATTTCCCTTATCTCTCATAGGCTGTATAGTCTCCTTGAGGTCATCCGCGCGCTGGAATATTTCCTTACCTTCGCCCGCATTGGTATCATGTTCCTGCTTTTCGGCGATGCTGCTTACGACGACGATTGGGATGCCGGGCTTGACAGTGGTAGCAGGCTCGTTATCTTGGATTAAGAAGTTCATTTCGTTATGGTCGCGATGCTCTGTATGATGGAGTTGCATGTACTTCGGTTTGTCGAACAAGAGTGGATAAGTGGCAACAATACGTCGCTTGCTGGTGTTGCAAGCACAACTTCATCTACCAAGACTTGCAGAGCTAACAATTCATCACAAACTACTTCTTTTAGCCCTCCCATTTCTGCTGTTATCGCAAGCCCGTCAAAAGCTCCTATCGAGCCCGCCAGTAACCCTTTGGTCTCTCCTTCCGTCGAAAAGGTCACGGTGTCTAGCGTGGAACTAAAAAACGTCTTCGACTTTGCCAACGTTATCAAGGAAAATGTGGCCCAGATTACCCTCGAACGTCTTACCGGCCTGTACAATAAAGCTCTTGATGATGCTCTGAAAGCTGTCTTAGGTTCTGCCGCAGTAATTGAAAACCTAGCAGCTCGCTCATTACAACACCGTGAATATCGCCCGCAGCTTCGCTCTGTTTCGAAACCTCCCTACCGAGATCCGAGCGGTCATCTGGAGGAAAGCCTCACCAGCTTCTCGCATTCTGAATACAAGATTGTAGAAGGTTGTCAGACTCAGCCTAACTACGGGAAAGCTGGAGGAGACTTATGTCGATACGAATTGAGTTTCCAACTTGATTCCTGCAGTTTTCCAGGCTCACTACGAATCCCCTGACTGGGCAAGATCACAGTACAAAGTCCAGCTCTGCAGAGGAAATGATGGATTCAGTTTCTCCTTTCGTCCTCCATCTACCCCTTTAAGGGGGTAAATTCTGACTTTGATACCTAGTTCGGACTGTGTCACACCCTGATCAACCCGCTCACCGATACTCTCTTGATCCAGCGAACTTCCCACAAGCCAATCTCATACCTCCGAAAGATGATGGATGTCTCTGCCTGGTCGAACAATGCCCTGAAGGAGGTCCAGAATGCCGTCTTCGGCACAGCAGTATGGTTCAACCTTAAATCATCCCAACAAAACACGCTGTTCAAGTTCTAGGGTCTCAGAAATCGCGGTTTTATAAGGCATGGATTCGCACGCCACGCGCCGGGTCAGCAGAAGGTCGGCCGGACTATTACCGGATACTGCCAGATCCTGTCATTTCCCTTTCCTATAACCAGCCAAATGGTCAGCGATTATCGCCCAAAAACGTCAGAGGTGGGTGACGCGGGTCAAGCGCGATCTTGCAGAAAATATACAGAAAGTCGAGTAAGGCCTGAGAAATATCGTTAGCTAGAGAAACTTACTTGGTCGCTATGAGTCCTATATTTTCGATAAATCGCAAACGTTTTCTCAAATCCGCATCGTAGACCGGGCGCGCGTAGACTGGACATATCTAGAAAAGTGATAACACCTCGCTTAAAATCTTGACGTAATAAAACGCGAAAAAATACAAAAACAAGGGAAAATGTTAACAAAAAAAAAAAAAGTTAACAAAAAAACTAAAAAACTAAATACCTATAACTTAGCCCTGGGTCAGGACCCCTTCCAAAGAAGCCATTATCGGGTGAATAGGGAAAATACCCTCTATTTTATACCGCGTTCTCATATTAGGAGCGCTTTTCCGGCAGAAGTAGATGGGCTACTTGCAGAATCGACGTAACTAGAGTAAACGGTTGATTGTTTGTAATGGAAGTTGGGATATGGGCATTATAAGGGAGTATATTTTTTGTTTTGCAAAAGTGCGCCGGTGAATTAGCGAGAGGGAGGTTGATCCGATATGCGATGCCAACGAGGCTAGCACCAACCACTTTTCGCTAGGCTTGATGCTCTGTCTTTTTATCTTTGTGATCGTGGAAAGTACTAGGCATATACGCTGAATTTTTACTGATAGATTCGAAGCAAGGTCACTGTTGAACGTGCGATACGAAATAGAGCAGGTGTATTTAGCTGAGCTTCGCTCCCTTATTCTGGATCAACACCTTTCCCACCCACATCTTTCTGTCCCTGAGATGAAGGGGTAACATGACCTTTCAGATGAGACTGTAGGGGGGACGATCGGGCGAGATTGTATGGGAGAGTATGCAAGCGTATCTAGGATTTGAGGTAAGGAAAAACAAGTCTTGAGGGGTAGATGAGAACAGATCCAGGCTTCGCGTTGAGGTATTCTCCTACCTGGTCACATAAAATGCCATAAAAGCTGTTCAGATATGGTGGTCCTTATTTGCCAACGGGGTTCACTTTATTCAAAGCCGCTCTCGGTGTCATTATTTCTGCGATGATGGGTAGTGCTTCTGTCCCAGATGAATACTTATATTCTTCACTGCAAGACCACCCTCGGCCGCGACGACTTCCCCGATGTCTCTCGGTGCCTCTCAAAGATCAGCGGTGTAGTAATCCTGCCCCAAACAAACCTCTTCGCCAACAACGCGCCGAAGACTTTGGCGGCTGGCCACACGGTCGGCACCTACGCCCTGGTCGAGGGCAACAGCTTCGACAACACCAAGACTCCCGTTACCGCGGGATTTTCGAGAACCAGACAGTTTAAGAGCACATGAGACGGTTGCGATCTCGGGATGCAGTGCGGCGCTTGGATGAGTCTACATAGGAAATGCGTTGAAGAGGAGTCGTGCCTTCCCGAAGTGGAAGAGCTCGGGCGTGTTGAGGTGTACCTTAGTCTGGGAAGTGGGCATTGTTATGGCACCACTCTGGGTTCATGATTAATGTTCCGAACAGAGCCAGTATTGGGAATGTCTGAATGTTTGGTTTGGACCAATTGTTAGAGTGGCGATCTTGGCGTTGAGCACACTTAATACTTGTACGTATTTCTTTCACTTTGTACATACATTCAACAGTGCACTCTTTCGCTAATAAGAAGAATATTGGTATTGGGTTGGCGAGAGGGTCATGAAGATCGGGAATATACCACTTGAAAGTAGTCTGATAGGGTCTCTGCGACTCTGCGAGAGTTGAAGGCAGGTATCAAAATACTCACCTGTCTTGCCATCGCAGCTACTTGATTGCCATCGCTGATTGGAAAGGGATGAAGAATAAGCCATGCTGGCTTGTGCGTAGTTGCGAGCCTGGACTGGATTTCAATTGTAGCAAGAGACTTCTCCGTGAGCCCTCCACATTACTTCCCTTCGGCGAATATAGATGCAACATCTGAGCCTTGTGATATAGATCTCAAAGCCCCTGGGAATCACATATTCAAGCAGCAGATCTTGCTGGGAAGACATATATAAGTCCGGAAGTATTTGATGTTGCGAGTCGGGGATGCTTCAGTCATAGAGCCGCCATCAACGATGCTGATGCTGGAAGGAAGGGGAATGTAAAGTTTGGACCGCATCCAAGCCGCATCAGCACCTTGGGGGGTTTGGGAATATGGGAGGGCTCACGACTTCTTCCATGCGCTTGGCTCTCCCACCCATAACCAGTATCAGTCAGATGTTGCCTGCACGTGCTGTTGATGCAAAATACTAATCACTTCGTCTCTAAAACTCGCCCTTCGTCCGCTTCCGCGCCCTTACGCCTTTCTCGTCCTCTTTCGATTCAATCTTCACCGAGCTCTCCTCAGCCTCCTCATCCAAAGACTTCCCAGCACCAACTACCCAAGTCTTCACAATCTCCTTAACCTCCTTAACCTTCTTTTCTTTCCCCTTCGCCTCTCCTACCCGTCTCAAATACCCAGAATACACCACCACCTCCGCCACCCCAATCAAAGCACTCCCACTCATACTCAGCGCTAATCTGGCAGGTGTACTCCACCACTTCGCCGCAATCCATATAGCCGCCGCGCAGGCAAAGACACTAACCAGGACGTTGAATATGAGGGTCACTTGTCTATCGACATCAGCGTATGTGACGCCGTCGTCGTCTGGATCTGAGGCATTGATATTCTGGTGACTCGAGGAGAAAGCTCTTGCTGCTGAGGCGGCTGGGAAGCGCTGGGAGAAGGTTTCCATCGGTGGAGGAGGGTTCGTCATGCGTTCATAGGAACGGGCTTCTTCTTCGCGGCGAAGGCGGGCCATTAGTGCTTTGTATTCTGATGTCTAAAGTGTACGTCAGCCAGCTTTTCAAGGCATAAGGAATGAAATATCCGCTAGAGCGAGGCTGGTATCTACCCGTCCATCTGCATCCCAAGCACCACCTACCGGTTCTGGTTTTGCCGGTGGTGGCGGAACATAGACTCGAGCGCCTTTGAGCAGATCCTCCAGTCGAGACGGTTGTAGTCCTCTGACTTTCATGTTCCGGGCGAGTTCGATGATCTGGCCGTGGGAGATAGGGTTTCCTATCCGGGGATCAGACAGAGCTGGTTCTGATGGTTTACTGCTTGTTTCCTTTCCCTTGAAATCTGCGGCTGCATTTTTCGATTGGGGTTCTCTTTCTCTAGCTTTTCTCAGTGCATCGTCCTCGCCGCCATTGATTTTGTTCGTCGCGTCGCCATCGACGTTTCGTTTCTCACCCACCCTATTCTCGAGGCCCTGATATTTTTCCAGAGCCTCCACGAGAGGATCTGTCATAGTAAGCAATACCATGTTCTTGGTCTACTGCAGTGTCGCGAAAATAAGGCTGGTGAGGTCCCATGTCAAAGTGGAAGCTTCAGGATGTCGGCCTCGGTACTGAGATGGCCCGACAATAATATAGTGCAAATTTTAGATTCCACACCCTCATCTTCACCCTCTAGACAATTCTGCCACGACGACGCCCCTACGCCACTTAATTCATCTGTAGGATATACTGTGGTTTTCTCGGATGTTTGGATCGCAATAAAATTAATCTGTCAATTTCGGCCGCGCAGGAGTCTGGGCTATGAGAATCCCGGCCAGAGCTTCGCTGCTCTTCAACAGCTCCCCAACCTCGACCCTCCCGCTATATTCGGCATGTTCTAGGTGTCAGTTTGCTGGGCAAGAACCAGTACGGTTATTCTTGAACTCGATACACCGGCATCCATCACGGAGGAGGCAATCATCCTGGGCGCAAGCAGCGTCCGTCGCCTCCCATGTTTTCTCGAATGCGACCGCTCGTACAGCAGCTCCTGGAGACGTCAGCGTGGACCCTTTGCGGATAGTGGCGAAGGAGATGAAATTCTTGAAGGGGAATATACAACAGTTGCTGGGATCTGGGCATCCTTCTCTCGATATGGTGGCGAAATACTACACTCAAGCGGAGGGCAAACATGTACGGCCGATGATTGTACTATTGATGTCTCGAGCTACGGCCCTGACTCCCAAGTCTCCCCGGTATAATGCCCAGCAGCAAACGACGGATATTGACGATTCCATTTCACCAATGTCCATTTTGGCGGATGTCAATCCCACCGAGCCCTCCTCGAACCCTCTCACGCATTCACAAACCTCATACCCTGCGACAGACAGCGATATCCTGCCAACTCAACGACGGCTCGCAGAGATTACAGAGCTGATCCACACAGCTTCACTACTTCACGACGATGTGATTGACCATTCAGTGGCCCGGCGCGGAGCACCCTCCGCAAACCTCGAATTTGGAAACAAGATGGCAGTTCTTGCGGGGGATTTTCTCTTGGGCCGGGCCTCCGTGGCACTAGCCAGGTTACGAGATGCAGAGGTCACGGAGCTTCTTGCAACAGTCATTGCAAATTTGGTGGAGGGAGAATTCATGCAATTGAAGAACACGGCTCGAGACGAGAAGAACCCAGTCTGGACCGAGGATACCGTCACATACTACCTGCAGAAGACATATCTCAAATCTGCAAGCCTGATCTCCAAATCTTGCAGGGCGGCCGCGCTTCTGGGGGGGTCAGATACTCAGACGGCGGATGCGGCGTACGCCTACGGAAAGAACCTAGGCCTCGCATTTCAATTGGTGGACGACATGTTGGATTATACGATCAGTGAGAAGGAGTTAGGAAAGCCAGCAGGTGCTGATCTAGAACTTGGATTAGCCACTGCCCCGTTGTTGTTTGCGTGGAAGAATAACGCAGAGCTCGGGTCGCTAGTAGGGAGGAAGTTTGCCCACGAGGGCGATGTGACTAGGGTAGATCTCACCCCAAATTTTTTCCATGTTTCAGCTACTTACACATTCCCAGGCACGAGAATTGGTTCTCCAAAGCAACGGACTCGATCAAACACGAGCTCTGGCCGAGGAATACGCAAATCGAGCCATCGCAGCCATTTCCGCCTTCCCCGATAGCGAGGCCAAGGAGGGCTTGGTAGAGATGGCGATCAAGACCCTGAAGCGGAGGAAGTGAGAGCGAGATTTCTGTATAGGCTCCTCGTATTCTTGCGGCAAGGATGCCGCACTGTATAACGCATGCATTAGAGAATCCGCATAGACGATTGTATTATACGTAAGCGTTATAACGAGTGGTCTAGCTAGTAGAGGCTGGCCAATATACTTTTTTGCCACTCTGCCGCGTGTTTTTTTCTGGCGATTCCCGGAGGATTTCTTGGGGATTGGAACTTGAGAAGGTCAGTGATCCGATATGGCTACTGATTGGGATTCTGTTCGCTTCCTGTTGCTATAAAAATGTCACCTTCTCCTTTCTGGTCCTTCTCAGTCAACCATCGCAGTCGCCATCTATTCTCGCACGCTCTATCAATGCTTTTTTTTTCAGCGATTGTCGCCTCTGCATTTGTCACGCACTGTTACAGCATAGGTACCTACTTCTCCCCGGGATCTGCTGCTTATGAGAAAAGTGTTTTCGAGTTCACGGAAAGCATTTATTACCTGACCATTGTGAATAGAACAAGTGTTATGCTAGTTAGTGTATGCGTCGTCATAGCAAAGCATTTTGTACCCTGCTGCCCATAGCCGGCGTGACATCAATTCTGGCTGGATTGTAAGGACCTCGGACGCATCATTCATCCTTTGTAGATAGATTGGTAGAGGTAGCTTTGCAGCAGTCAAAACACCTAACCGGAAACACCCGAGCGAGAATTGAATCCAGGTCTAGGTCATCTTGCAATCCGTGACGATAGCCTCCCGCTCATAATAAATCTTACTGATTTTTGTGGTTGTCGTCGGCGCTTCAGACATCGTACCAAAGCCTACCAATACCCGCCCACACTGCGCGGCTAATGGGCTTGGGTTAAGATCTGACACGACATGTTGACTCTCTTCAACAGGTGAATAAGATACACTTGAGCCAGGATGAGGGATGAAAATCGCGGACTCGACTGGGAAGGTGGGGGTTCTTTGCGAGGGAGAATCACTCGACCAGTGTGGCCATGCCGCGTTGTGATAGAAACTATTGCGATCACTAGCTGTATTTACTCTTCGTGCTTGGATATATGATGTGTACACGCATAAATTTCGAAATTCGAGATTGATGATGAGAGATCACAGAGTGGGACAGGTGCTAGCCGGTGCAGTTGACTACCAGGTGATAGCTGGCACGAAGTGCTGAGAGAAACACTGATGCCAAATGTACCCGTGGCATTCGTATTTCCAAAGAATCATAAGCAGTATATGAAGTTCAGGTCGAGGATGACAGATTTTCGTGATATGCAATGTTCAGCTAGGCCTCGTGGTCCAGCCTGGGAAGCTTCGCTAGCATCCTCTTGGACATGTTCAAGTCGGTCGATTGAAGTCTACTTCTTCTCGGTTCGGACCGGGCAGTTGTTAATGCTGGTAATTCTTTCCGCAATACTTCCATACGAATGACTACTGGGCACTGTTGTAAAATTCCTCGTACCGGGGGACATGGTGTATGACCAGGGAAAAATACCACGGATACGAATAGCGGAATCCTACGTACTTACGGATGAAATAAAAGAACTTATATCTCGCCTCATTTATATAACGCACTCACCGACAGCCGATTCCACATCTCGTCTCAGCCCGGGGAGGCTTCTCAAACCCGTGGATTCAGCTACTGGTGCATTTTCCAGTTCGTGGGACTGGCCTCGATCAACCCAGAGCTCGTTTGTTGAGTGAAATTACACATACGTCTTTGGCCATTGCCTAGACTATAAGAGGTATATCTCAACCACTTGATGAGCATTAAATTGCGACGGAACGGACTGTAAATGGCAAGGAACGCGAATTACCGTGCTTCCATTTGGATACATGGTAGTCCGAAACCAGTTAAGTCTAGACATGGTGTAGCCAAAGTAAATCCTCCATTGGGTGAAGCAGCAGAGTCACACCTCCCTTCGAGGAAATTCCTCATCATGTTATCAGAGCAACGGCAAGAGGTGGATGGGTAGCGACCGCATCTGGCCGATTCCTCAATCGGCCACAGATGGACATCAGTATCATCTGCTACTTGATAGCATGAGTGGCCGGATTAAGGTCAACCAATGTTCGTCCATGGAAACTTGAATGCTGAAAGTAGTGTTATACCAACAACTACGTAGGTCTTGGTTTTCGCGAGAAGAATGCAACATATCATGAGCTTGCTAGTTGATGGGTGCTTGCCACTCACAGATATTAGGAAGGTCCGTTAAGGCCGCTGGATTGAAATCTCCAATTTTCCATAATACGTAGTATAATCAAGACAAGACAAGACAAGACAAGACAAGAGTTGACGTTCCTCGCTCCCTAACCAGGGGCTCGAAGCGAGGTGGCTAGAATAAACGCGCTAGTGCTGGAGCCCCACATTTTTTCGATACTTCCAATCTTCGGCGCGTCGACTTCCTTCGACCATAAACATCAACTTCAACACTCTTGAAGCACATCACCCTCGATACAACCTTCGGTCAGGACACTCATAAGGAGAGTCTTTCTGTGTCAAACTGCTCACTGACCCACAGAATATACAGTTTTCCGGCGCTGCGACGCCTATTTTGTGGTGCAGGATTTGCCTCGCTTTGAGGCGTGCCTTCAACTGCACCCCCCGGCTCTAAAGGAGTTCGGCTTTCTCTCTCCCACTGTATTCACTAGCGTGGACAGAGCCGCAACCCGAATAAAGGCCGTCGCTAACCCTCTCGGTTAATATAAGTCATGGACTTCTTATATTCGTAGCGATCCTCGCTTCGACTAAACATCATCAACATATTCCAGACTGTCAACTTCGACACCAGCTCCTGACAACACCATCTTTCGAGTCAATATGGAGACAGGCAAGGCTGCCCTAGGCAAGATGGGGGGGACCTCAGGCAACCACAGGTATGACCAGCTTCTGTTTCTCTTCAGCTTCAACCACGCTAATACCAAATTTCAGAGCGCCCTTGAAGACATACTCTCGTCGCAAACCCCACAATACCTCAGAGCAAACCCCAGCAAAGAGAAAACGCGCAGAAGAACCTCAATCTCCTGAAGAGCTACCTCCCGCGAAGAAATTCGCGCCTTCTTCCATCAAAAATTACTTTCAGCCGCTGTCCAGCTCTTCAAGCCCCGCGCAAACCCGAGCGGCTCATCAACCTTCAGACGATCTTGCCTCAAGATCGACGCCTCCTTCGTCTCCTCCGACCTTTACCCCATCTTCACCCTCGCCGAAGACAGCCAAGCCACCGCGCCAACTTCTACGGCGGAGAAAGCGGCCGAAACGAAGACTTACAACAAAACTCGATCTGTCACCTATCAAGATGTCGACCTCTGAGAGTTCAGTCCTTATGAATTGCTGCATCGAGGGCACATGCCAGCATGATAACAACACTGCTCGCCTCGCTCGCAACGAGAAAATCATGTCAGCCAAGTTTGACGAAGAAGACGGCTACACGAACACCATCGACAACATTCAAGTCCCACCTCTGGATGAGGTGCTCGCCGCAATTCCCCTTACGTTCGAGCATGGACGACGTACCGCAAAGATGATTCAAACCCTGATTTCAGCAGGCCAGAACCCACCAAGATGTTCGGTCTGCAAGCTCCCCTTCAATGCCAACAACGCAGAGGACATTATCACACACAAAATGGTTCACAACAATATTGAATTCTTGAACTCAAACAAGCATGATCTCTCCGTTATTACGGATCCAGCCTGGACTCGCGACGTTGGCTCGTCTCACAAGATCACGTTTTGCAAGTTTGATGAGCACGCTTCGTTGACTGTTCGAGAGTTCGCCATTGATGTCGTCAGGAATAAGGTTGATCGGGCCTTGGGATATGTAGGATACGAATCCAATGCTAATGCCGAAGCTTATGAACTTGGTCGCGATATGTTGTCAGGAGTAGCCAAAGTCTACATTGCCTTCGTTGGACCACCAGGACTTAAGCCCGCCCTGCGCGCCGTTGGTGTGGTTGTTGTGAGGAGGGCAATGGCGGCATCGCTCTACTCTCGGCAGGATGGACAAGAGAAGTGGACTGCCCAGGATCATGAATGTGACATGATCGTCGATCGGATCTGGGTTGACGAAGAGTACCGCAAGCTGGTCCCGATGAGCGATGAGCCACAACACCTCGCCACCAGACTGGTTGACTTTGCCCGCCTCAACTTCTATTACGGCTACACAGTCGCGAAGGAAAAAACTGCTTTCTCACAACCTACCTCGAGTGGTTACCGCTTCGCCTGTCGCTATTTTGACGGTGTATGGGGTCCTGGAGAGCTCCTCGCTGTGAAGCTATGAAGGGGATGGCGGTTTTATAGATGGGTCGGGGAGTTTGTAGCAGTGATTTTCAATGCATCGGGGGTGGGGGGCGATTGGCGTTTGGTGCTGCGTGGTTTTATTTTGATTTTGTAGTGGAATGGAATGAATCAAAGTCCTGCTAGCAGCTGCTAGCAGGCATAAACCTCGATCTTAAGAATATTGACCGTGATATGAAGATACCAAACGAAAGATCTATCGATTCTCCTCACCAGCCGGGGAAGGATTTGTACTTCGGAGACGAATCTAGACTCGGATATGAGTACATATTACACGGAGATAGTCGATTATCAAGGCCTCGGAAAGATGATGAAGATAGTTAATTATATGCTTCCAAGAGGCAGGGGAACACTTTGATCTTTATCATGGTCTCCCATGGATGAGTTTTGAATGCGCTGAACCGCACATGGGAATATCCAGCAAATCATATGCTGGAGTTTCATTCATTAGGAAAAAGACGGGATGAAAAGCGCTGCTCGGGGCTTCAGCCTACAGTCGTGATGTGGGGAACCGCTGTCTGTCCAGAACTTAAGCTTCAATGTGGCCCAGGCTCAAGAGCTCATGATCCATCATCACCGAGTATCCGGGCAGCAGTGACAGTGGCAGCGCCGACGACGACAACGACGAAGACGGCGACGATCACACGAACAAACACCGTTGAGATGCCCTCAGTAATACAGCAAACAACCGAGCAAGAATCTGGATGTCTCCCACGTACAATGTCTGCGGAACTCCCTGCCTCGAATCCGTTCCGGAGGAGAATCTATGCAGCCCTCCCCTCTGCCATGTCAGAGCGCCCCTCTGCGAATTCCCAAATATCGGCCGACTACGCAGAACCGCAAACAGATCCTGTGGGAGGTGAAGGGACAGGTGTACTGAAGAAGATCACCAAGAAAGTCAGGGTTCATTCGCCTCCTCCGCCATCGCTCTCCAGTCCAACCATATCCGACTCATCCTCAACGGTTGGGAATGAAATCTATAATACATCCGGCAGGCCTACAAAATCTGCCATACCGCGGGAAGAGGATCCTTTCGAAAATGCGACCGCGGACACGAGCGATGATGAGGAAACAAGTAGACTTGGTAGGGTTCCGGCAAACCCGTTCTCGAAGACATTGGAGACTATGGAAAACCCGGGACGAGGTACCGGAACAGTACCACCAAGGAAGGCCAGCAACGCGGGGCGAGCATCTATGGATGTAGATGCTTTCAAGAGGCTATTAATGACGGGAAATTCTGGGCTGGCTACGCCCCCGACACAGACTGGAGCTCAGGCGCATGTGGCACACGCTCTCGGGAACGGGGGGAGTAGTACAGACACAACATCTCTATGTCGGCAGTCTGTGTTTGAGGCCATTCAAGAGCCATTGACAGAATCACCTCGCACATCACACGAGATATCAGAGCCGGATGATGATCGGAGGGGGTTGGTGGCAGAGATGTCGCACTCGTCCGCAGGCAGAAAGAAACCCCCTCCACCAAGCTCGAGACATGGGAAAATGATAAATATGGAACTGAAGAACGAGAATACACCTATTAGCACGCAATCACCTCCTACATCAGGCTCCATTACCTCCCAACATTACATCAGCTCCAGTCAGCACTCCCAGACAGACCTCAACAAGCCTCTGCCTCCAGCTCCGAACCGCGCCAGCCATGATTCGGAACGTGAATCTATCTTCGACAAGGAATCTGCTGGGAAGACACCAGAGCCTCCCTCTCCATCGCCATCATTGCGGTACAAGACGCCGCCCGCCCCGCCTCTTACTCGCCGGCACAGCCAGAAGATGGCCGAATCGAAGTTGAGACGAGCCGGCTCGACCCGGTTATCACCCAATCCCGAAGAGGAGCCTCCCAGAGTCCCCAGCTCTGGAAGTGAGAACAGGAGGAAATCCTCTGAAAGTGCCAGAGCTCCTCCGCCTCCGCCCTCCCGCCGTCTGGGCTCTTTAAGAGTCTCACCGAAAACTTGTGTAAATTCGCCTTCGACTGTCTCTTTGCCCGCTCCACCGCCTGCTCGAAGATCGTCTCGGTCCTTAACTGGAGGCAGACCATCTTCAGTCTACAGTCTGGATCTATCGTCGACGAACAAACGGTCCTCCGTCGTGGCGCCTCCGCCTCCACCGCCTCGCCACCATGGAACCTCACCCGAGTCGCAATTGTTCGGGGACTCCCAAAGACGAAGCGGTGAGTACCATCGAAGCACGGAGGTCACCCGGCCAGGATCGTCGAGCTCGTCCTCACTACTGCACGAGAATCTGCATGAGGAACCAGTGCAAATTCCAGCACAGGCGAGCAAACTCGATGTTCTCGCCGATTTAAGCAAATTGCAACGCGAGATCGACGCACTGCGCACCCAGAGCGTGAAGCGAATCACATGAAACCGATGTTTGGATCGGCAGTGTATACTTAATACAAACGAAGGGATTATGACGAGGATAGATGACATGGTGGAGAACATACCGGCTCCGCATCACACGGGCGTCTATCTGTTTTGCCATGTCGCTACCGTCGGTCGTCGGTACTGAACATGGGTCGGAGCTCCCCAATGCCGGGTTTCATGGTCGTCCGTATGCTTATTTGAGTCTGAGCGCGAGGGCCGTCAAGGGATCGGATCTTTGGGGGGGGGAGGTTTTTTTTTTTCTTTTTTTTTCAAAGACGAAGGCTGGAATTGTCTTGGGCGTCTTGGGCATAATATGTCGACATCAGCCGCACCTGCCAAGTGACGCAAGCCAGGCGAATCTGAGCCCTTTACTTTACGTAGATTTTTAGAGTTTCTGCGGGCTGTGGTGGCAAGTGAGGGGAAAATGGGCACGACAGGGAAGGGCGAGCTCGGGAGATCACGGCTGAGGCGACGAGCTTTGTTGATTCTGGGATCCCGGGTCCCGGGTCGCTTGCTAGGCTTGGCCTGGGGTATGGCATAAATTAATGCCCAAAGGGCGAATTGAGGTCTGGAGCGAGATCCTGGGGAATCCGGACTGGGAAAGCCGGGCTGGGTATCGTCTACGTCAGCTTGTACTGCACTGGAATGGGGCCCGGCTGGTCTATATTACCGTTCCTACATTGATCACCGAGGGCTGCGACCAAGACGGACGGGACGGGAAACTTTCTCTGGTGCGTCACGCGCGATCAGCACCGATATTGATTGAGGTTACCGGTATCATATTGGGATTTGGAATTGCGAGGCGATGATGTCCCGGTACGATCGTCGCCGAAAGGGGGAGGGGAGCTTCCACATCGGTGATCGGGAGCTGCGGGCACGAAGAAGACTGGGAGGAACTTGTCGTCCCTCTCGCGGTCTGGCAAAGGTCTGGCTGCAGACTCTGTATGTAATTGTATCATGGGATAATATCAATGGGGTTCTCTCGAGACTATAAATGGTACATCAGACTTCGCCGTGTCGTGAGTAAGGTGTCTCCTCTCCCTCCATCTCTTCTCCCTCTTCATCTTCGCCCTTTTTACAGCCCCGTCGCATGGTCACGGCGGTACGTCTCGAGTACGGTACACGGTTGTACTTGCAGAGCGCTGAATTTGGATTGGAATGTACTTCTTAGAATCCACCTACCATCATCCATCCACCTACCAGCATCCATCCACTTCCTAGCATCCATCCATCCATCCATCCACCCACCTCCTCAAATACACTCCCTCCACCGGCATCTCCCTCTTCCCGGAATCTCCTCGCCCACCTGCGCAGCGCAAGCCGACAGACATCATCTCACCGATTCGGGGCGCAACCAGGCGGGTAGGGGGGTTTTACGCATGTATGTACATATGTGCCTAGTCTCCGTGTGTGTGTGTGTGTGTGTGTGTGTGTGTGTGTGTGTGTGTGTGTGT